CGCGAACAGCGCGCAAAATTGTAACTGCGGCGCGTTTATTTTATTGCGTATACGCAGCGTTGTGCGGCCCCACCAAAAAAAAAAAAGAAACGCCATATGACTTATGTGCTCATGTGTGCTGTGTGTGTGTGTGTGTGTGTGTGTTTTGCCTGTATGTGTGTCTGTATGGCCACAGCAACAGCAGCCACGCAGCGGCTCAACTTATTTTCCACAAAATTAAACCATCAAAAATTTGCCAACAACAATGCTGGGGTAATTTATTTGACTCATGGTGTTTTACCCGCTTGTTTAGAAAACGCCAGCCGCAGCCACAGCAACAACAACAACAACAGCCACAAAAAAAACATACACAAACACACACACATATAATAAGAGCAGACAAAATAAAAATAGTCAAGCTGTATTTAAAGCCTGTGCATATGAGCAACCCGCATCGACAACAACAACAACAGCAACAACAACAACATGGACTGTGGTCATGTTGGCAACGCGAACCACTGCCACTGCCTGCTTTTGGCTGCATTTACGAGGCGGCGTCTAGATTTAAGCCCAACTGGTTGACTTGATGTGCAGCACGAATACATCAGCAGCAGCAGCAGCAGCAGTTCCTCTATTAGATATACTCCGTTTTCCATACCCTGTACTTGTGAGAGAAAGAGAGAGAGAGCTAACGAGTTACGCGATGAGCCAACAAATTTTTTATAATTTTTAAATTTGTTTTTTGTTTTTTTTTTTTTTTTTTCATTTTATAAATGTTTAAGTTCAGCATTCATCCATCAATCAGACTCAATCATATTATAAATCTTTTCTAAGATTTTCTTTACTAGTCTACACAGAAATTCGTATAAGTCTATTTGCCGTAGATGGAACATGAGTTAAAATTAAAACATACATTTTTAGAATTTTGTATAAACTGCTAAAAATAAAAAAATTTTAATTATGTTTAAATTTTGTGCTGAATTTCATTAACCCCAAATAGAGTTTCTTTACCATCTTCTGCAAATATATATTTTTTTTTCGAATTCAGCATTTATCTATTTTGATTATTATTGATTATTCGATGATATTATCGATTTATTTATATGTCTACAAGTCTACTTGGGGTAGATGAAAAAAAAAAATAAATAAATAAATAAAATGATGAGATAAATTCTTTTTATTTTTTCTCCATTTTTTTTAATTTTTTTTTTTTATTTTATA